GTGTGGAAAAGTGAAAAAGCAGAAAATTTGACTGATCGTTAGGCAAATTAGGAAATTATTATGCATGGATTTTTACCCCAAAACTTAATCACATCTGTCCACAGCATCTATGTATCAAGTTTCATAAAAATCCAATGAGTGGTTCTTATGGTTCTTGAGATATCAGTGGAACAGACGTCTCAGACACACATACAAACACATACATACACACATGCAGACGCACTGTTTGCAAAGTCAAAAACCAGCAATGATTTATGATTTTAAGTATATTTTCTATGTACACTCTCTGTTAATGCAATTTACAAACCAAATGACACTGCTACATAATTGAGTAAATGCTTCTGATCATTTCAAGTTTGCACTACTATACCTTTCCCATCACTATCTGCTACATTTTCCTCTGCTTCCTCCTTCTCCATATGTTCTTTTGCCAACTTATAGGTCATTCTGATTGTTTTTATTCTCTCTAAAGCATAAGGCAGCAGTGACTCTTTAACATTTCCTATCACCTGTCGTGTGATCAGTAATGCAGCAAGTTGCTGTAATAAATATAAAATTATAATATGTCACTCTTGAGTCTTATAATTCATAATACAGAACATTATAAATAAACAGATATTAGATATCAATATTAATTCTAATAATCTTATTGGTATTTACACTGATATTGATACTGATCATATTGATACTAATATTAGCAATACCATATTTTCTCTATCAGAAGCACATTTCTAATGAAAGCAAGTTGAAACAAAAGTTGCATATACTAAATAATTAAAACATGTCTTATTGTGACCATACATTCACCTCTGATAATACATATGTCATCATCTAAACATACCTGTCTAAGTCTAGCCATATCTTGTAGATAGAAAGCAATATAGAATAGAGCTAAGAAACCATTAACAAACTGACCCTGTAAAAGAAAAAATAACACTTTAATTATTTCATACATACAATAATAATGAATATATATGAAATATGAATCACATCAATTGCTGGTTCATGAAAACTTTTGTTGTTGATTTGAAAGACACAAACCAACCATGTTATTACCGTAAAATCTGTATTATAATAGAAGTCGCACCTATTATTTTTGAGTAATTGAGAACCAAAAATTCATCATTTCTCATATGTATAGATGCTCTAATAAAAGCTGCATCCCCTCTGTTACATTTTACCATTTTAATAGAAGCTGTGGCTACTAATACAGATATTACAGTAATTTTTACGCTGTCTGTTGAATCTTTCCAGATAAAATACAATAATATTAAAATAAGCTGATATGCTCAATTTTGATGAACTAAAAAATAAATTTTTGGCAAAGGAATAATTGTTAAAATGTAGCTACCACATTTGACTCTATTAGAGTATACATCTGACATACAGCATTAATGAAGATATGATTTATATTTTACATACACTTGAAATTCATAATGGAAATATTATGAGCTTATTACGAAAATACAAAGTATGGCAGTATGGCAATAATATTGACTGTGAATGTCGATGTATTTTTAAAACACTTTTGATTACAATATCATACATAAATTTACAGACAGATGAATTCTATATTTTTGAGGTATATTTCTAAGGAATGGCATCAGAACTGCACCCTATGCTTCTTATACTATTCTCTGGTTAATTATCACAAAGAATTACGGCCACGCACAACAAATATCCTGATTTGTCAATTTGTTTTATTGATTAGTTTGCGGGGAAATGCACACCAAACTTTATAGCAATACTTCTAATACTGGTCACTATGACAACATTTAAATCATTAACACAGTAATAATGAGTGTTCCATGAAGGCATCTAAATCAGATCTCACTTACTAGCACTAGCTTGATAATTAACTGATTTTCATAATTTTCCTCAGTTCTGTAATTCTCCATATCATTGAGCCAATAAGCAACCTTCTTATATACATCCTCAGTCACTCCAATAATGACAGCCAATAAGATCTTTGGTAATGTCTTCATCCACCTGCTCATGAATAATTAGCATTGCAATGCATGATGTGATGGTTATATCAACTAAAAATAATGCTATGGACACATATATGTGAAGTGTGGACATCCAGATATCAGGTGAAGAGTGAAATGAAAAAAATTGAGAAATAAATAAATGTAAAAAGTAAAAATGATAGAAAATAAGATCATACCATGCTATCAATGTTGAGAATGGCAGATAGGAAAACCATCTGTGAAAATGAATGAATGAATGTGTCAAATTATATTAAGATGACATGCAAGAAGACAAAGAATAACAGTGATGAGGAATCTCTTCTCCACTTTCTATGAACTTGAATGTTGTGCAAAGAAAATACAACAAGTCATTGTCAATGACACG